AAAAAAAAAAAAAAAAAAAAGCTGGGGAGATAATAGCTCAGTAGAATAAGCGCTTGCCTGACAAACAACAAAGTTGTCACAGCTTTCTGTCGCAATAGAATACTGCGATAATCAACTGAAGAGACTTTTTCTGGCTGGGGCCCACGGCCCCTGGGTTGTTGGTCCTGGCCTAGTAGACGTGTGGACTGTCCCAGGCCCCACTTCAGCTAGGCCCCGCCTCCCAGACTGTCACCTACAGAGCCACCAGCTGTTGACAAACCTTTCAGGCCCTGGCCCTGGGGACAGGAACCCCATGCAGCAAGGCTTTATTTTGGTCTTTCCAAGATGCATTTGAATGCCTTCCTATAATGAAGGACCACTGGCACTTCACCTGCAGAAAGCCTGGCTTCCTTTTGTCTCCAGCAGCACTGCAGGCACTCCATCGAGGTCGCCTTCAGCTAGTTTGGGGTTTGTCTTCTCACGCTCTCTACAGTGCCTTTTGCTGGTCCTAGGTCCTAACGAAGGTAATGTTACTCTCTTCCTTCACAATTTGAGCCTTTTATGTATACTAGGCCCTCTCCCAGCCCATATCCCCAGCCAAAAAGACTTCTCCCATGATTCCAATTTTCAGTTTTGCTGCGGCCTTTAGGGCTCAGATCCACCTTTGTCCGATTTCTGTGTATCTTGCCAGTTGCTGTCAGTTTTAGACCCTCCTCTAGGATAGGCAGCTGCCCATTCTCCGAGGAAGCCTTCATGCAGCTGACCCAGCCTGCCAGTCTCTTCAGAAACACCCCCACATCCCTGCCCCAGCCCTGCATCCAGACACAGGTGTGGCCTCTGTGACAGCCGCCCCCCACCAGCGCTTAGCCCCACTGCCCTGTCCTTGCCCCAGTTGCGCTCTGCACCCACAAGGTCCGCAGGATGCGCACGCCCCACAGCTCCAAGCCCCGTTCTCCGCTCACCACCCCCCAGGCCCTCCAGACATAGTAGCTCTGCGTCCCAGACGGGCCCGGGCCCATGGCAAACCACTATTCTCTCCTCAAAAAGCCTAAGTTTAAAAAGAAGAAATGAAGTATTAAGAAGGAAAATAAGGGCCAGGGAGATGGCTCAGTAGAAATAAGTGCTTGCCTGGCAAGCGCAAGGGCCTTAGTCCAATTCCTGGTTCCACTCTGCCACCCACAAAAATCAGGAAAATTTACAGAGGGCACTGTTCACCTAAATATCACATATACAAAGACACAGAAAAATATATGGAGACGTCACTTAGATTTTTACTTTAGTAGCTTTAATCAAAAAAGATTCCCTAAGATCATTTACAATGCTGAACGTACACTCATGAACGTGTGCCTTTGTGACGACAGGGTACCATTCTTGAGCAGCCATACAATTCTAAAAATATAATGATGCAGTATCGTTTTTAATAAAAAGTCACTTAAAAAGTCCAAGGTCTTAGGGAATTCACAAATCATAACAGGAAGTTAACTATCAATTTCATGTGCACATAATTATCAAATTTTAATAGATTAAAAATATGTAAATGCCCACAACTGTAAAAAAATTAACATCCTACTTTGTTAAAACTTCCCTATCCCCTCCCACCATAAATATACAAAAACTTATTTTCAGGTATGGCAAAGTCACATGCATGAAACATCAGAATGTCGTGTAACGCGTGGGCTCTGCTCGTCACCAGGCGTGGTGCGCCTGCTGCGCTGGAACAGACACATGGACGCAGCACCACCGCACTTCGGAAACCGCAGCGCTGCTATCATTTGGGCAGAGTTCCAATGGCAATGGTTCTGTTTAATGCAAGTGTGATTTGGAAAGCGTTAGAATTTAAGGATTATAAAAGGAATATAAAAAGCGCTTATTCTGTTGGCTTAGCCACGTTTATTCAAGCATCACTTGCGGCACAGCTTATCGCAGTCGGTGCTCTGAGACAGAAAACAGCACTATTCTTGGTGGTGGGGGACTCTAAACAACCCTGAGGGAGACACACATTAAAAATCTTGTTCTTTATTTTAAAAGTTAAAAAGTTACATATCATTATTTAACAATTACTTTCCTGGACATGTCTGTCCTTTAGGTGCATAAATAAAATTTATCAATCTTAATACATCAAAATAATATATGTACAGACTTTTAAATTCAGTTCTGTATACACTCAAATAATTTAAGGTGAAATTAAACCCAGAATTACTATTATGCAAAAGTGACGCACAGAGAGGACTCAGTCTGTCGATGGCACTGAGAACGCTGACACCTGGCTTCACAGACGTCCCTCAAATGACATTCTCAGCGGGGTGAACCCACCCCACCTACAGCTGCATGTCCATCTACCTCAACTGCATTCCTCTAAAATAATACAGCAGGCAAGCTGCAAAAGCCTCCCTGACTCTGGGTTACGAGCCTGCGTGTGCCAAGAGCAGCTCTTTATGATCGCACTCTTAAGGATGGCAAACACAATCTGATGACTATTTGGATTGTGAGCTGTTACTTAGTGATCACTTCAATTATATGCTTCAATATTTAAAGCAAATAATAAAATGTACAATTCCAGAAATCACTAAAGAACAGCACTTGAGCAATTTAAAATGAATACAGAAAACAAGAGAGTAAGTAACTATGGAAAACAGTGCGGAGTCACAGCTTGAGAGGTCTAAGATGCATAGCTTCATAGAATCATTCATGGAGAAATGGTTTTTATCATCTAATGTGTATTACATTACGCATTTTGATGGAAAGCTTGGATTGTATTTCCTAAGAATCATCCGTGGCAAGAGCAGGAAGGCTGAGCCCAGGCGTCACGTACACTTCTGCAGTCAGCCCACACCGCGCAGGTCTCTGCAGCACAAAGAATGAGGCATGTTCGGGTCCCCAAGTCTGGGCAATGTCTGGCTAAATGGTAAATTTGTCTTGAGAAAATGATCTGCTGGAGTGCAATGCACAAGCACAGGAGTAGTTAAGGAAGCGCATAAAGGTGTGTGTTAAATATTTTAGGGCCATTATACAGTAAGAACTGCCTGTGTTTATTCTAACTGTGGGCAGTGCAAAACTGCTGGAAACTTTGTAATGGCATTTTAAAAGCTACCCTTAGAATTAAACACTAATCAGGTAAAACAGAAAAGTGAAATATATTCTCTGTACTTCTTTTGCAAATGTCTTTTAATTTTATTTCCTGGAGGCTTTTTTCTCCCAGAAATTTGCCCTGGCCCTGTGCGCCTAACTAAACTGGCACGTTCAGACCTCTGGTGTCACCTGATGGCACAAAACAAACTCTTGCCCAGCACACACTGCTTTGGAAAAGAGCAGTCAAAGCCTCGTTACTGACAGGAGACTCATATACCAACCCTTAAGAAAAACTTTGTCAAGGTAAAATTCTAAATCAAAATTTACTCTCATCCTATGTCTTCAAATAATCAAAACTGGAGATTAAAAATAATACTAATCCTGAAGAAAAAACAGGAATGAGGCAGTATGAGAAAGGTAGTTCTACATCTAATGCCAAAAGAAATTATCTTTCTTTCCTAGTGAGTGTGGAAGGTTCCACAATGAAACTAAAGCACACCAGACTCCAACTGGGGATCACTGCAGAGGTAGGAGTGCGCCTGCTGATCACAGAATCAAAACACAGGCAGTTTGTACAGAAAACCAAAAACCATGATGGAAATAACCTGAGCTCTCTAAGCAACTCCACTGTACTCACTCCTGACTAGCGCTGAAGGGAGCTGGTGTGGACACACGGAAGGAAATCTTTGGAAGTAGTACTGGAATCAATGGAAACAGCCTTTCCACTTGTCTTCACCAGCAGCTAATCAACAACCCCCCCCCCTTTTTTTTAAATGAGTTTCACATTTAGATCTTCATAGAAGTATAATTTTTTTCTAGTAAGGGAGTTGTGAAAGTAACACAAGGGACCAGTCTCAAAACCCTTCATGCACCAAGCTGCCCTGGTATCCATACAAAGAGCATCACTGAGGGTAACAAAATTCCAGAAATTGTGTAATATTTAGGTTGGTGACTGAAGACAGGAGGTCTGAGAGGCAACAGCGAGGAGGCCAACACTTTTCTGAGAACTGACAGGATATGAAACAGCGTGCACTCTGACACACACGATCAGGAAGTCCCAAGCACCATATCAGTATGCCACCGAGCCTGGGTCACTTGCTATAGTGATGACCTGACACGATCCATTCCCCTTGGACAGAGCTTTGGCTTCCGTGGTTGTCTGGGGTTTCGGTGGCCACTCTGGGTCAACCAGCAGCTCCTGTGCCAGGTACATGTACTTTGCCTTTGGAGTCTTCTTCCGGCAGCGCAGGGACGCCCAGGAAAAGCAGCATTTCCCCCACCAATCCACTGACTCCTAAAAAAGTTAGACAGTTTTTTTTAAAAAAAAAAAAAAAAAAGGACCCCGGTTGATTAAAGGGATGTTCTGAACAGGTTCATCAATATATATGTTGGTACAGAAGAACAAGAAGAAATGACTCCTGAGCAGGATAAATAACTGAAAAAACATCCATGTAAAAAAGCCAGCTTTCAATTATTTAGGCACAGATCTTTTGAGATAGGGTCTCAATACACAATTCAGGCTGATCTTGGAACACATGGTGATCCTCCTGCCTCAGCCTCCTAAATGCTGGGATTATAGGTGTGCATCACTGGGCCTGGCTAGGAACTGATCATTTTTAAGATTAGATTATTTTTCTGGTCATATATGCACAACTACCCGGTAATTTATTGCATTTTATTTAGTTTTATGTACCTATTTTCTTGTGTACTGATAAAAATTTGTAAGTTGCATGTCTGGATTCTATAACAGAATAACAAATACATTAAGAGTAACTTGTATTTTAAAAATCATTTTAATGTTTAATTTGTAAATTCTTATTATTTATTTGGTATAGTAGCTCACTACACAGCTCAGATTTGTAGTAATCTTCCTGTCTCAGCCTCCTCAGCACTAAGATTACAGGTGTGCGTAACCATGGCCATTTCCGGGACCAGCAGTGCATGCGGTACCAGCGATGGCGCTCAGGACCTTGCGTTTGCCAGGCAGGTGCTTAGACTGCCGAGGTATCTCCCCAACTCCTTACTTTGTATATTCTTATGTTCCATCCCAAACTATCTTTTAGTACTATTGCTGTTTAATCCCAAAAGCTTCTTTTAAAACCACGTTCTCACAATAGAAAATGGTAGTTTCACTTTATGATGATGGCAATCCACACGCTGATGGTCCACAGGATGGAACATGTCAGTTACTGATTCTTAGAACTATTTTAAAAATCTATCACCACTGAAATCCTCCTCATCGATTCAGAAGTTACTAATGAACATGACCTGGTGTTCTTGATTCATGCCTAGAAACAGAAACTGAACAGAGGCTAGATGGTGTCTTCAGAGTTCCTCTCAGCAATGGAAAACCAACGCAGCGAACCCAGTAAGCACACCAAGATCCACAGCAGCAGCCACCTCTGAAGCGGTCAGGTCACCATCCCGCTGCTGCCTCTTCTGGTCCAGCCTACAGCTAGATCTCCTGTCAGCCCCACACCTGGAAGACACCACACATAACTGGTGTATGTGCTAGTGGGAGCACCTAAGCAGCATAACCCAGAGAGGCAAGCCTCTGTAATACACATTTGAAACATGCTGCTGAAAAGGTCCAAAGGGAATAGCAGAAATGCCTTTGGGGTGGGAGGACACTGAGCCCAAGGGCTCTGCAGTGACCTACCTGCTCAGCCTTTTTAAATTCTGAGACAAGGTCTTACTAAGTTGCCCACCCTGGGTTCACACCTAACAATCACTCTGCCTCACCTTTCAGAGTCCTGGAGTTTTAAGTGTGTACCACCACAACTGACTCCAAAATACTTTTAAATGAAGCTCTTAAAATAGTTTCCTAAATTCATGCCTATATTCTTTTTCTCATTTTATGGAAATGAGAACCAACTACCACCAACTATTCTTCTTCCACTGATGTCACTCAGAACATGACAGCTAACTGCAAAGGTCTCCCATCTAGTCTGTCACCAAAGCTCCCTGTGCTGCACACTACCAAGGGCTAACAGACCAAGCTGTGGTCTCAGGCAGCTGCACTGCATTCCCTCCAGAAGACACTTCATCTACCATTAGAAGGAGGACAGAGTTACTGCACTGTATTACTAGCCCCTTAAATTAACCCACAGGAAAACACTGCTGGGAGAGGCAAATGTCTCTGTACCCAGGTTTCCTGGGTGATCACACAGTAAACAAGTGACCTGCCCAATGCAGGGCATAGCAGGCTCAGGAACTGACTTACAGGCAGCTCACTACCCTAGGCTTACTTTGTTCAGAAGTGTTTCAATTCTTCAGTCCAACACAGAAAAGATCACTGTTCCTCAATTAATATGAAAGCTGTCATAGGTAGCAATGTTAAAGGCTCACAGCAATTGCTGACATTTAAAGAGAGAGAGAGAGAGAGAGAGAGAGAGAGAGAGAGAGAGAGAGAGAGAGAAACTGTAGGCCCTAACAGGCTTGTCTCCTGGTAAGCCTCTCAGGGTCAAGGGCAACAACACCTGAGAGGCTGAGGCAGATGCTGAGCCCAAGGCTAGTGGGATACAGACACACACAGCCCTGATGCAGGTCCCCACCTACACACAGTGAGGCCCAACAGTAAATTACAACTAATTTAACTGCAAACAGAATCACGACTCATCCATGTACTTTTTTCATTCAAGGGTATATTTAAAATTCCTCAGCTCCTTATTAAAACTAACGTACATTTAAATGAAATTAAATTTCATTTCATTTAAAATTTTAATGTAATTTGAATTTCATTTCATTTAAATTAAAACTTTAAGTCATAAGGAACACCAGAGATTTCCCAATTCCGCTTTAAATTAGAAACATTTTATCCTGTATCTTCATCCTCCCAAGTACCATACACAAAATATTACCTACAAGCACAGGTTACTTTACTCATACAAACATGCCACTCACGTCCTCAGAGGCACTGACGTCACAGGCAGAGAATCACAGAGTGACAGACATGCTGGGATGCGACATCACGGGGCGCTGAGGGGAGGCAAGCACTGTGCAATGCGGAGGCGATGTGGTAGAGGGCATGGAGTTTGGCACAAGCACAGGGGCTCCCCAAATTTCCAAGACCTAAGCCCCAGAACAGGAAACAAAGCAGGCATAACAACTGCACCGTTGAGACCATATTTATCCACCCAGAGCCAGGCATAGGGGTCCACACCTACAATCCCAGGTCTTCAGAGCCTGAGGCAGGAGGATCACTCCAAGTTCAAAGGCAGCCTGAACTCCAAAGAAATACTCTTGTCTATATATAAAAAACTTTAATGTCAGATGTGGTAGCACATTCCTATAATCCCAGCAGTTGGGGGCTGAGGCAAGAAGTTCTGTGGATTCAAGGCCAGCCTGGGCTATACAGTGAGTGAGATCCTATCTCAAAAAAAGATTTTTTTTTTTTTTTAATTACTCCCTCAAAGAGACTATCATCTCTCAACAGAGCCACCATAAAGAATTTCAGGACACTGTGACTCCAATTCTTGTGCTTCTCAAACCATTCTTAGGTGTTCGGGTTGGCAGTTCTTTTACAAAACTTTGTGGGTGACATTCAAAACAAAGCAGCCAGGTGTGGTGCCCAACTGCAGAGTTAGGTAAGGCAAGATCACTGCAAGTTCAAGACCAGCCTAGGCTACAAAGTACAATCAACGTCAGCCTGAACTGCGTAGTGAAACACTGTCTCTAAAAGACCAAAAATTGTTTTAAATTTTAAAAATTAAAAAAAAAAACAAACAACAAAAACAAAGTGATGCTTGAGTGAAAAACATGTTATGACGGAACTGTGGTTTTCCTAAGTCTCTTTCCCATTCTGATCCAATCAGAATTAGCAATCCATCTAAATAAGCTCAAAACTACAGGTAACACGTCAATTTATCAATTTTAAAAAAGTAAGCAGTTCTACAGGATCAAATTAAACAGCAGTACAAGCTAGCACTACATCTACTTCTATTTCTAGAGGCCAAGTACAACTGCTTTAAGTAGAGCAGACACACATCTCCTCAGAAGAGCAAACTGTAAGGGAACCCTAGAAGGTGTTTGGCTCAGGATTCTCATCCAGGTCAAGGGTGATTGAGGAATTTCTTTTTTTCCCAGAGCTGGGGATTGAACTCCGGCCCTTGCACTTGCCAGGCAAGTGCTTATTCTACTGAGCTATCTATCTCCCTGGACCTGACTGAGGAATTTGTGATGAATATCTCAACTTGAAATCACTGGTAAATTGGCAGCATTTGTTAGAGAATAGCTATTAATATCTAGGGTGCTAAAGAACATTACAGGAATCTATGGCTCCAAAATGGCTTAAGCTGCAATTATTTGCCAATGGTTTCCTTCATTTCATTCAATAGATAGTGAATGAGATTACTAGCAGCGTAAGAATCACTATGGGATCACCCAGCATGCACAATGTCTGCTGATCCTCAGTACATATAAAAAGTAAAAACCAAAATTCCCCCTATGAACCAAGTGAGCTATGTGAAGGCGGGGGGGGGGAAGAGAAATGTCATACCTACAATGCCCAGGAAAATGGGCTTTTAAAACACAGAGGCCTAGGGCTGGTGAGATGGCTCAGTGGTCTAAAGCACCTACTTAGAACAAGCTTAGCAAAGCACAGGGACCACGGTTCAATCCCCCAGCACCACATGCCAGCCAGCCTTGCCCCCTGGTGGGCTGAGCTGCCCACCCCCCACACACAAATTAAAAAAAAAAAAAAAAAAAAAAAAAAAAACCACAGAAGCCTATGCTACAGAAACATGACTACCTGGACTTGAATCACATCTAATACTGTTAACCCATCTGTAAGAACTGGTAACAAGTAAAGTTACCCACCCACCACAAAGCAGCTGGCAACAGTAACTACTGTTCATCCCTGTCCTGTTACTGGGCCATTTTTCTTTTCTTTCTTTGTTTTGTATTTTAGGACAGGGTCTCACTGCATAGATCAGACTCACAGTGATCCTGTTCACAGCCTCCTAGGTGCTGGGATTACAGGTACACGCCACCACGCCCAGTCTCAATCACCACCTCAGCTTGCCCTGGCACAGCAGGCAGACCAGGGGATCGAACTCCCAGCCCCTGCATCTGCCTAAGTATGGGCTTTAATCCACTGAGCTATTTGGCCAGCCCTTGGGCCATTCTGTTAGTCTCATCTCTGTGACTGCAAGCGAGGGATGGGAAGCATATGACACAAAGAGTGCCTCTCTTAAAATTTGAGATCCTGGCTTCAGTTCCAAGTTTGCCATTCATAAGATGCTTGAGGGTGGAAAGTGGGGTCAGTTCAGCTGGTTTCTCTTAAGTGGAGTCAGAAATTCCCTACACGTCTTAGAGGGCCCTAGAGGGGGACACAGTACTTTGAGGCTTGGCTCCCAATTCAACCATCAATCTAAAGCCTAGTTTGGGGTCTCTAGCCTCGTAACTTTTAACCTTAATTCACCATCTCTATCTGCATGGTAAGAGGAAAAGAAAGGGCTCTTCTTCCCAGGCACTAACACAGGAGCCAAGAGCTGCACTCTGTAAAGACTTTAAGGACTGTGTTGCACATGTGAAGGGGACCTAGGAGGGAAGGCTGAGGAGGGTCACAGCACAAGGAGTCCTGAGTACTCACACTCCCTTGCTTTCCAGTCCACCTTAAAGCAGGGCTCACCAACCTCAGCACCACAGACATGGGGGCTGCGTCCTGTGAGGAGGCGACGGCCTGTGCACTCAAGGATCACCCCGCAGCAGCTCTCTGACCTGTAGCATTCAACCTGCCTACAGCAGCCTCCTTCCTTCACTGTTACCATCAATGATGTCCCCTGACGCTGTCAAGTATTCCCTGGAGGATAGTCACACAGCTCTGCATGATTTACTTAACGGACCCGTAAAGGATCACACACACAGACATGCTGAAGTGGCAAATGACCACAGAGTCCCTATGCAAAGCTGCTCTAAGAACTCTCATTCTAAAGCCAGTAATCTAAAATGCTTTCTTAATCACGACCACAAAAGTGGAAGGCTAAAATTTTTCCTATTTACTGGTTCTCAGATTGGTAGTTGGATATTTCCTTGAAGAAAACTTTTTTCCCTAGGCCTGTACCTTGCCACTGCAAAATTCCTTCACACAGTACTGGAGATAAGACCCGAAGTGAGACCTCTGAAATAAGTGTAAAGGCATCAAAATTAGAAACAACTGGTGTAGTGGAACATGCCTATAACACCAGCATTCAGGAGGCTGAGGCAGAAAGATCTTGCAAGTTCAAGACCAGCCTGGGCTCCAAAGTGAGCTCAAGGCCAGCCTGAACTGCACAGTGAGACCTTGACTCAAAAAACAAAAAACAAAACAAAACAAAACAAAACAACCCCCACTAAACCAAAAGCAGAAACACAGGCCCAGAGGAAGAAGTGGTTAAAGCCCTGAATACCTAATGCAGCTCTCAACAAGAAAAAGAACCACAGCTGACTACCAGATTCAACTACCCTTCTCCTCAAACCCATTACTACTTATCAAACACTATTAAAAAACACAGAGGACCTCCTAGGGTGCTATCCTCTAAACCACACCGGGACAGTGAGCCTGCTTTATCACCTAAATGAAGCTCAGACGTTGCCACTTGGGTAAAAAATGACTAAAATGAAATGAGTGAGCCACTGAGAAACACCTCAAGTCCCCTTGAACTCTGTGCACTTCCCTATGGCTCGGGTAAAGGAAAGGCACCTAGCTCCCCTACAGCAAACAGAGGGTCAGGTAGAGGGGAGGGCTCCCTAGGAGGCGCTCTCCACAGCTGCTGCACAGGACCCTGATGCAGCACTGTCAAAATCAATTAGTGCTCTTTCTCACAGCTGCCCTCCAGCTCCTGATGCTCCGAAAGGGGTTTCATTCATGTGTTTCTTTTTACCCAGAGAGCTGGTGAACACTTTCAAATAGCAGGTAAAGACCAGGGAGATAGCTCAGTGGCATATAAGTGTCTGCCTGGCAAGCACAAGGTCCTGAGTTCAATCCCTAGTAGCAAAAAAAAAAAAAAAAGAGAGAGAGAGAGAGAGATACTCAAACAGCAGGTGATTTACCTGACCCCAAAAATCCTAGCCATGTCTACCTGAAATAAATGTACCACTTCACAAATGTAAAAGAGACACAGACACTGGGGGAAGCCAAAAATTAAGGCATATCAGAAACGCTTCCTTAAAAGTTTGACCTTTGGATTTTAATCCAAGAAGAAAATAGTTTCAGTTTCAAAACTTTCTATGTACAACTACCGCTTACCTCTATGAGACTCATGAAAACCAGAACAGCACATAAAGCAGATGGGATGGAGAACACACTCTCACCTTTGCAGACCACACTTCCACACAGCTTTAGAGCTGGGATGGAAAGAATTATGGAAGGGTGGGAGTCCAGAAAAGCTCTAACACATACTTGCCATGAGCTTTCTAAGACTCCACAGAGAAGGAAAATGAGGGCACGGGGAAAGGCTGCAGCAGCACACGGATACCCTAGCACGCAGGGAGCACAGCTGAGAGCGAGGACGTGTGAAGACGAAGGCAGGCGCTTACTCCCGACCTGTGGCGGCGGTGTGGTGCTGAAGCGACACTCTCCTTGTCTGTCTCGATTGAACACAACCTTCCAAAGGACCATGTCAAGGAAGAAGCTCTGAGAGACAGTCCAGTGAGGTAAGAATTAAAAATGACCAAGCCACTCTTTTTTAACATGCACATTTAAAAATCACTCATATAACTGAGGCATCATTAGTCAAGAACATGGTTTGGTTTCCACATACAAAACTTCAGTTCATAACACCATTTTCATCTATCACAAATACAAATCACTTAAATTTTGATAAAGTGGGACTGCTATCTTATACAAAATATGAATTTTCTATACTTCTTAATGCTCCAATTCAAGCAATATTTGAAGCTTTTTTGTTAACAAGGAATTACTTTCATTGAATATCTAATATTAATCACCAACATAAATGATTTTTTTAATGTGCAAGAACAGTAACGTTTAAATGAAAGATAAGTTTTTTTTTATAGAAAGAAGAATGTTTTAGAATGATTTAAGATGTGCTTCCTATAGGGTGTGCTCAGAGTAGGTGGTGTGAAGAATGGCTTCTCTGTTTACAACACACCTAACAGGAATTTAGGGTCACTGTGACAAGGGGCACAAAACTACAAAGCTTGTGACTTCCCTTTGAGCAAATGTCCCACACATGTATTTCATACACTTCCACATGGCTTCTGGACAGTACCAATGGGACAAGGCTCTATGGCATTTAGTGAAGGAGGTGGACGTTTTGAGCATGTCCACTGTATCCATGGGTGATCTACTTATAGTCCTAGAAGACTGAATTTCTATTTTCTTTTTCTTTTTGTATTTAGAACATACAAAAAAAGTGTAGGGCATACAGGGTCTCACTGTGTCGATCAGACTTGTAGTGATCCTCCTGTTTCAGCCTCCCAAGTGCTGGGATTACAGGCGCGTGCCACCACACCCAGTCTTAAGCATTGCCTCAGCTGGCCCCCAAGGGTGGGGCCGGGGATTGAACTCCAGGCCCCTGCATCTGCCTAAGCAGGCACTTTAATCTGCTGAGCTATTTGGCCAGCACTTCTATTTTCAATAAATTTTAAAAAAAGAAAAAGAAAAGATGTGCTTTCTAGCATCAGTCACAGAAAAAAACATATTTCACTGGCAAACTTCAAAAAGGCTACTCCAAAAAGCCATGCTACCTGCCATTTCTCAAGTCTGAGTACCAAGGCATCTTTCTACTAGGTGAACTGAAAGTAAGCAGATTCCTCAACTGAGAACCACTATCACTAAAGTATCTGTATTTCTCCACAAATTACCTTAATTTTAATTCAAAAGCCTACGCTGTTAAACTACTAACTTAAAAACCAGCATGTATTAGTAAGCAGTCAATGAGAGCTTGCTAGCTCCTTTTAGAGAAGCTGGCCCAAATGAAGGAAGCCTAACAGGAGTAAACAGGTGATGGACCAAGACAACAAGAGCAGAGGAGACTCCTGCAGGTCACTCAAAAGGAAACACCAAGCTCCAGAGGCCAACACTGAAGCTGGAGAAGCCACTAACACTCAGCACTTTACGCTTCCAATACAGCCCTGCTGTCTGTCAGTCGGTGGTGGTAAACTATGGCATACACGCATGCTACAGCAGGCGTGGAGTGGCTTCTGTGCCAGCAGGCAAGTCAAATGGCCCCACTGCAGTGCTGGTACTTCATGACAGATAAGTGGGTTTGGGGTTGCACTTTGGGCACTTGGTCTCTAAAACATTTGCCATCACTGCCCTGCCTGTTTTGTTGCCTACAGTTCCTGGCAGAAGTGGCCCGTTCCACTTCCTTCCTCAAATGGGACATTTTATCCAACCTCACAGCAGACAACAGCAGAGGCCACTGCTCTCCCAGCCCCTGGGAGTGGGGTGCTGCCGGCCCACCATGCTCATCTGCTGCTGCCTTCGCTCACATACGCTCTTCACTGCTTACTGAGCACAGTGCTCTTCCCATGATTACCTGCGGAGCACAGGAGAAGCCAGAGAAGGTGCAGTGCCTGTTGTGAGGGGACACTGAGACTCTGGGTTCTGTCCCATCGCCTACTTGCTTCCCTACTTTCCACAATGCCACCCAGGACCCCGAGCCAACAAGGCAGCTGTGCAGCTGTCAGCAGTGCTTACCTCCACCATGACAGATACAAAGGCATTGAGGAGGACAATGAGCAGCATGGTTATGCGCCACTCATACGGGACACACACGAGCTGCAAGACAAGAAAGGTTCAAGTTGGGTACACAGGTAACCACAGCTTCTACAATTAGTAAATTCCTATTGTTTACCAAATCTCTACATACACTACTACTTAACCCTCAACATTATAGGTATAAGTTATACTTGTTTAAATGACGTAAGGTTAAAAAACAATTAGGTGGCTGACCTCAGGACCCAACTCTATCCCTAGACTCAACAGCCCACAAGACCCTAGATCACCAGCCCTGACAAGGTAAACATAAAAACCCATGGCTCAATCCTGAGGCAGGGACTAATCTAATACAGAAGTACTGATCAAACCTCTCATTACTGCAAAGACAAATTCACAAAAATACACAATTTAAGAGCTGTAATTTAAATTTCACTATGGCATTTGATTAATTTCTAAGGCCTAAGAAATAAAGAGATAGATCCCATCCTTTGCATCAGCATGCACTCATCCCTGAGCAGCCAGGCTGCCCCGCAGGATGCCACGGCCTGCAGCTAACACACTGGGAAAGAACTGAGGTTCTGGCACGGTGGGCATGAGTGCTGGAGACCACTATGACCAGCCAGGCAGAGGCCACAGGAGGACGCTAGTCCTGGTGAGGGATGAGAGGACCTAATAGCTGGCTGGCTACAAGAAAAGGAAAATGACAAGGACAGATGAACAGGGTAAGACTGTGCTGGGTGCACAGATGGAGATCTTCAGTCTACAGATGGCAGCTAAGGGTGGAGCAAGGGCAGCAGTGAGATCACCTGAAGTGCAGAACGAAGAGGGAGAAGGCACGAAAGATGAGGAACACCATCATGTGAGGAGCGGGCGGAGGGAATGGAATACAAAGGAGGCCACAAATAAAGAGTTACACAGAAAGGAAGGGTCAGAAGAGGAGGAAGCATCAGAGAATTTAAGAGAACACTCCCCTGTGGCAGTGTGGTTAAATGGTGCAGTACTGTGGGGAAGTCAAGGAACATTAGGGAAAACCATGTTTAAGGACACAAACCCACTGGACTTTCAGGCTAACACAGTGCTTGTAAACATGAAGACTCTAAACATCCTCTCTGTGGTTTCAACATGGCAACAAAATACACAATGAAACCCAATCCCTACATGGGAGGGGACCTACACAGGCCAGAAGGCGCAGCCCTCACCAAGGGACTAGGGGTTGGGGAGGAACCCTGAGGCTGGGCGGCAAGATCAGCTCATCCCTCACCAGGTGACCACCACAGCCAGAGGGCCCTTGTGTGTTTCCCTGCTCCATGACAAACTCTGTTCTCTGCACATTACTGAGGTATCTTGTTATAGCATCAATCTAACACACTTTGATCAATTCCATTTCTCAATTTACTTAACCTGTAATATAAATTTGTACTGAAGTGTGCAAAATTTGCAGCACAGCATTTTTTATAATAGTAAACACTAGAAACATCTAAATATCAAAATTGGATGACTAATACACACTGGGAAAATCTGCACCACAGAATATTCATTCCATAAAGTTCAGGTGTCTTTTTTTTTGACACAAGGTTTCACTGTGATGCCCTAGCTGGCCTTAAACCTCAAGTTCAAGCAACCCTGCCTCAACCTGCTGAGCAGCAGGGACTTAACACCTACCTCATACAACTTTAGTACCTACACCAGTCAGGGAACACAAAAGAGAGGAAAACGAAGTCTGATCTTACACATGCACTTAGGGCAAAACCACAGCATTTCAAATCCAGAGAGCTAAGAAGGGTACATCATGATCAACCTGGCATGATGATCAAACTGGGTTTATTCTAGGAATACAAAGTTAACAACTGAGCATGAGCTGAATGTCATTCACCACTCTGCTGAGAGAAAACCTGTGTGGCTGTCACAGTTAAACAGAAATGTCTGCCAAACACTTGAGGGCTTGATCCCCAATTCAGCAGAGCCCGGGAGGGATGACTGCTATAAGGATCTAATATCCTGTGGGTTAACCCATTGATGAGATCACCCTTGAATGGACTGCTGGGAAGTGAGACAGAACTGGAGGGAGGTGGGCACTGTGTCTCCTCCAGGTTCTTCTTCTCAGCTTCCTGGCTACCAGGAGGCGAGCAGCTCAGCTCTGCTCTGCCAGGCCCTTCTACCACATTGTTCCCACTTGGGAACTGGTAACCATGCACTGCAACCTCTGAAACCATAGCTAAAATAAATTTTCTCTCCTTTAAGTTGTTTTCGTCACAGTAAGGGAAAGCTGTTGTAGTGCGCTGTGGGGCACTGTCCCAGCTATGTCAGAGTGCAGGTGAGAGGAGAATTCAAGGCCAGCCTGGACAACCATGACACCTCAAAAAAAAACCCAAAAAACCAAAAAAACAAACCCTAAATCCATGTGTTAACAGCACTAGGGAAGGAAGTCTATGGCTTACTTAACCTGACAAACTACACCCTGGAAACACATACCTAAATACATAGTTCATATAGAACAAGACAAGACAGCACTATCATTACAACCAATGTACTAAGATGAAAGATATAAGGAGTGTGAAATGTCAAGAATGAGGAGTTTCAGGGCTGAGAATATAGCTCAGTGGTACAAGTGCCTGACTAGCAAGGGCAAGGTCCTGAGTTTTCCAGTAAAGGGGGAAAAAAAAAAAATGAAGAGTTTAAAATTTATATAAATAGCAAATGCTAGAGAATCTAAAATGTGGGCTGGGGAAGGTAGTTCAGTGGTCTGAGTGCCTTCCTGGAAAATGCAAGGTCCCATGATCCCTGGTACTGCATGCCATGTCAGCCCAGAACGGTGATGCCTGCCTATAATCCCAGCACTGGGAAGTCTGAGCCGGAAGGATCACTACGAGTCTGAACTGTGCAGCAAGATCCTATACCAAATAAATAAATAAATATTGTGAGAATAAAGTGTGACAAAGCTCTCATATAGAAGTTCAATATCGAAAGCAACTGCACTGAATATACTAACAGCAAAGAATTAGAAAATGTCCTTTTAAGTAGATAGTACTGATCAGGGGAACAAAACTAATACTCCAGGAACAGATCTGACAAAAAAGAGCAAAAATCTTCCTGGAGAAAATTATCAAGTTAATTGAAAGATATGCAAGAAAATCTGAAAAAACATATTTGTTCATAGAAAGGGAAACTAATCAAATCACCCACAAATTTACTGATAATCTCAATGTAGTTCTAACTAATTCCCAGAATGCTCTACCTGGTATATGACAAGCTAACCTTACATGTAAGAGAAAAAGTCCAAGAACAGCCGAAGAGCCCACACTAAAAAAATCAATGCAAGTTGAGGACAGGGGCTCTGCACAGACTTGTGTCAAGTATAAATGTGCTCTGCATTTGTGTTAAAGTATCCCTCAGTCACTCCACTGTACCTTAGAAAAGGGAAAAGAGAACCAAGAGAAATGGAGGCAGCTCCCTTTTCTCCCCAGTGACAAAATGGGGCAGAGTATGATCCCTAGTACCAAAGCCCAGACTCATGAAGCTGCTTAAAATTCATGTACCACTGGAGTGTCCCCTTCTGTCACTGTCACACTGTTGTCACCCAGTGACTATCATCAACCTGGAGACAAGTAATAAATGATGTGTGTCAGCCTTACCTCAAGAACCTTGTCAACAAAGGCAATTGGATGCAACATGATGAATAATACGAAAAGGTACAAAATAATCACAGATACAACAAAAAAATCTGGAAAAGAAAATAAAACAATTAAATTAGAAGTTCCTGTAAAGAAATGTGAACCAGTAACAAGTGGTCTACTATCATTTCTGAACCGAGTTTTGGATACCTCTATCAACACCTAAGACATGTACAGTTGTTTCCTACAGTGTAAGATCTTGGGCCAGGTCCCAGAGACTCATGTAAATGGAGAGGCTACAGTTATTTGAATCCCATTAACTTGAAAATATTTCAGAAAATACTTAGCACTTTACAAATAAAATCTAGACCTTTCATGTAAATATACTTCTAGGGACAATCGAGCCACTAAGTAATTTACAAATAAGAAACTACAATGTGTAGCAAAATGAGATCACCATTTAAAGCACATATTTAATTAAAATCACTGTTAAAAATGCTGAGCAACACTTATTTTTAGTATTAATATTTAGTATTAGTATGTCAAAATCCTAAATAAAGGCAGTCTAAGTTGAATTTATGTGTATCGCTGGCTAAGTAAATTCCATTTTTTGATTAACCTACTCCATAATATTTCCACAGAAAATAGCATAGGAGGGGGCTGGTGAGATGGCTCAGTGGTCTGAAGCACCTACTTAGAACAAGCTTAGCAAAGCACAGGGACCGTGGTTCAATCCCCCAGCACCACATGCAGCCAGACCCGCCCCCTGGTGGGCTGAGCTGGCCACACACACACACACACACACACACACACACACACACATTAATTAAATAATTAAAAAAGAAAACAGCATACGACGTTGATCTGTTTGTAAAATGTAGGCTACCCATTCTGCTAAGCATATATAACCAAAGAGATTTGGAATAATAAAAGCCATCCTTGTATTTAACTTATTAGTTTGTATCATCTATTAAATGTATAAAAGTCTTAACTTTTAGCTTACAATTGCAGTGGAACCCGAGACACTTCTCTGTTTTAACATGTGTACATGTTCATTATATTTCATTCATTTATTGCGGAAATTTTTTTTTTTTTTTTAATTTTAAGGAAGAACCTACACCTACAGGGTGTTTAAAGATATATGCATATTTTTGTGTAATAACCCATGAAAGATTTGTACATTTCCCAATTATACTATAGTCCAAAACACGTCTTTTTTCTTTAATGTGGTATTACCAGTTGCTACGTGAGGTCAGCTTCTAATGGAAACTTACAAAGACTGTAACAAGCCAAAACCTTACCACGAAACCTATCTTCCCTCCCTTCCTTCCTTCCTTCCATCCACCCATTCATCTACTGTCGTTTTGAGACAAGAGTATTGCTATGCAGTTCAGGCTGGCTGTGAGCTCACTCTGAAGCCCAGGCCAGGGTAAAGAAGTGAATGCTCTTTCTACTGACTATGAAGGAAATCTCACTGCTATTATTATTATTTTTTAGGTGTGTGTGTGTGTGTGTGTGTGTGTGTGTGTGTGTGCTCGTGCGCGCAGGGTCTCACTACACAGCTTGGACTCCTAGTGATCCTCCTGACTTCTGCCTCCCTAGTGCTGGGATTACAGGAGTGTGCCACCATACCCAGTCTTCATCACCAGCTCAGAGGGCAGGGCCAGTGCGGCATGCAGTGCCAGGAATTGAACCCTGGCCCCTGCACTTACCTAAGCAAGCACTTAGTCTGCTGAGCTGTATCGTCAGCTCTTCTCACTGATATTATGATGAGTCTCAGTGCTCTTTTAGATTTGAGAGTCATTTGTAAATATAAGCTTTATTGTGTTAGTTTAAAACTGCAGGTACTATATTTTGGTCCAAGAAACTGTAGAGCTGTAGGCTATAGTAGCCATATATTCTGCACAACCCTCAACAGAAAATGCAATATCCTATTCTATAAATTTAAGAGTTACACATAAATTAGTTACTTAAAAGTTATTGCCAGTTAAAGAAAAAATGTTTTGCTGGGGAGATAGCTCAGCAGCATAAGCACCAGCCTGGCAAACACAAGGCCCTGAGTTCAATCTCTGGTACCACAAAACAAAAAATAAATTAAATAATAATAAAATAAAGTTTATCAAAAAAAAAAAAAGAAAAAAAAGTGTTTAGGAAGTGCTGGTTCCAAGTATACAAATGAAAAACAATGTGAGAACGGACTAGAAATATGTTAAAACAAATGACAGAGAGACATGAAGGAAAAAAAAAAAAAAAAAAAGACAAAACCACACTCCTGAAGTTTCTAAATCTTACTACATTTTTACAACTGTAGCAAATTTAGAATGTGGCTCCTAAAAAATGTACATTATCAGAAAGTGACTCAGGCTCCAGCACTCCTTGCATTTACATAAAGAGCATCTCTCAAATGTTCCTATTTCTCTCCCTGAGCCAGGAAATATATAACTGAATCTCTGCTTAGCCTAGAGAGGAAGACACTAACTCAAAAAGGCACTAGATGACAGGAAACGTGGGTAATAGATTTATAAAGCCACACAAAATGTTAGGAATCACTAAGGACGTTAGCCAAGACTGAAAATACCAAGCCTTCTGTGATTGAGACTGGGCATGGTGGCATGTGCCTGTAATCCCAGCGCTTGGGAGGCTAAAAACAGGAGAATCACTATGAGTCTGATCTATGTAGTGAGACCCTATAGACACTGTCCTAGATTTATTTTTTAAAAAAGTCAAACTTCCAAAACTGATATATAAATTAAACATGATCTCAATTAAAATACCTCTATGATTAGTCATAGAACAAGAGAAAACAATTCTAAAATTCATATGGAATCAGAGAGATTTGGAAAAAAAGACATCCTTGTATTTAACCTATTAGTTTGTATCATTTTTTAAATGTATAAAAGTCTTTTTAGCTTACAATTGCAATGGAACCCAAGCTACTTCTCAGTTTTAACATGTATACATGTTTATTATATTTAATCCATTTATTGTGATTTTATTTTATTTTAGGGAAGGGTCTACAGGGTATTTAGGGTCTCACTACTAGATCGGACTCATAGTGATCTACCTGTTTACAGCCTCCCAAGAGCTGGGATTACAAGTACAGGCACACACAACCATGCCCAGTCTCAACTGCTGACTCAGCGTACCCTAGGGGCGGGGTCGGCACAGCAGGCCTGGGGATCAAACCTGCTTGCAGGCACTTTAATCCACTGAGCTATTTGGCTGGCCCTTTGTGGAATTTTATTTTTCAAATTTTTTTTTTGTTTCTAAAATAAAGAATTGTTATTTTCTGTATTAAAAAAAAAAGAAAATACTAGGCCTTTTTCATGATACCAGGGACTGAACTTAGGACCTTGCACTTGCCAGGCAGGTGCTTATGCCCCTGAGCTATCTCCCCGACCTCAGGCATTTCGGTTCAGCGGAGTCTGAGTATCTGGTAAATGTTCTCAGCATCTGACTTCTAGCACTGCTGGTGACCACACAGTGGTCCTGCTAAGTTTTCCCATGAAGACCATTTCCAAATCAAACCATGTGCTGGCAACAAGCAGCAGCCACAGAGGGAGGATGCCCCTAGTTAAAGACTTAGATTGCACTTTGGACTGACATATACAAAGCTAAGTGAACCAAACAAGTTATTCAGAGTCTAATTATTGCACTTACTAAAGGGGGATAAGAGGATTCTACAGAAAACAGAAACTTAACTACTCAAAATTGCAGTTATATGCCAATTCCAAGTTACTAAGCATCCCCCACCTTATGGCTATGTGAATTTGTGGTTACAGATGTGAGATATTCCCAATGGAATGTGGCATCAAAATAAGGCACTATCACGGATTTCTTTCATGTTGCAGTTGGTGATTCCCGTATATCTTTAAATAAAGTAAACACACATATGCTATTGTTCCTTCCTAGGGCTAGGACCAAAGATGTCAAGATCTTCCCTCACTCAGCACTCAGGTGCTGGTCTCCAAGAGGCTAATTTATTTTGCAAGGCATCTAGGGTTCTGAAGGCTCCCAAGGTAGGCCCCAAACTGGATACACACTGGCAGTGCAGTAAGAATGCCTCTATAGACAGAAAAGGAGGTTGCATTTAACAAGCAGTAAACTGTAGTGATGAAATAAGACACTGTAGCAAAAGTTGAAGTTAAACCTAAGAAATCACATGTAGTTCAAAGAAAATGTAAGAATTTACTAAGTGTGTACCATTATGATCCTTAATTCAAAACATAATTCTATCAAATAGATTATGTAAAGTTGAAAATGAAGAGTGACTTAAACATTTTTAAGACTCAGATTACAGTTAAGTAACCAATTTAAAACATTCCTGTTGGGAACTTTCACTGTTACAATGGCTCAGACCTCGAATTACGCATTCATAGGTGCGAGTGCTCCCACAAGTAGCCCTTGTGTCTGTGGGCATCATCAGCTGTGCTGCTGTGAGCTCACGGTACAGCGCGACAGTGCACAGCAGTGCAGAGCTGGTCAGAGCTCAGACGGAGCGAAGCTGGAGGGAAAGAGGTTGGAGATGCGGGTGGGGCTAGGAGGCGCAAAGCAGTGCGCGATGCACATCCGGGTCAGAGATCGGGGAGGCTCACTTTGTCAGACTTAAAGATGCGTCTAATTTATGAATGTTCCTCTGGCATGGAAGACATTTCTAAGTCAGGGACTTAATTTACTGTCTTTAAAAATCATAATCTTCGGGGGCCAGCCCCCTAGCTCAGTTCTTCTCAGTGGAGTAAGCACTGCCCTGGCAAGCGCAAGGGCCTGAGTTCAATCCCTGGTTCCATAAAAATCGTAATCATGTGGTGGTGCTTGCCTGCAACCCCGGCAAAATGTTGATGTTTTCTTCTATAATTTTTTTTTTTCCTGCTGTGCATGGTGGCATATGCCCATAATCGCAATACTCAGAAGGCTGAGGAAGAAGGATCAGTATGAGTTCGAGACCAGTTTGGGCTACAAAGTAATATGAAGGCCAACCTTAGCTGCATATCAAGATACTGTCTCAAAAAGACAAAAATAAATAAAATAATAAAAATCATAATCACAAAATAAATTTAATTTGTCACACCACTTAAGTACAGAAAAGAACCATATTAGGTTCTAGCAAGTAATTGCTCCAATGAACTCTAAAGAGAATGCACTTCAATGACAGAACAAGAGACAAGAAAAGATCGTTCACAAAACACATATGATCAACTGCACTACTTCCTATCTAGTTTTCAGCAGGCAGGTTCCATGACAGGATGCATCATCCACTTGTGATACATGTCTTTCACAAGAAATGCACATGCTGCTGCTGCTGACAGTAAAGACAATCATATTGTGATTACATGTCTACCACAAGGTAATTTTTAGTGACTTAAAAATTTAGTATACAGGCTAGAGAGACAGCACCTGCCTGGCAAGCACAAAGTCCCTAGCTTGACCATCAGTACCGAAGAAAACAAACACACATACACACTTTTTTGATCAACATGAAAGTTGATCATTTATTCAAGTCACACAGAAATTAATGCCAATATGACATTTCTTAAGCATTTAATATTTTTGAAATTTTCCTAATCATATAAAGGATGTACTTTAAAAAGCACAATGTTTAGGGGCTGGGGAGATGGCTCAGTGGAATAAGCACTTCCCTGGCAAGCACAAGGGCCTGAGTTCAATCCCTATTTCCAAAGGGGGGGAGGGGGAGCACAACATACAGATCGAGACCAGGCGTGGTGGTGCACACTTGTAATCCCAGCACCGGGGAAGCTGAAAACAGGAAGATCACTATGAGTCCCAGCTGCATAGTGAGACCTATACCAAATACATTTTTAAAAAAGAAAAGAAAAAAGCACAAGGTCTTGAGTTCAAGTCCCAGTACAAAATAAACAACAAAAAAGTAACCTTTTTTTTAATAAGTAAAGATAAATATATATATAAAATAAGTAAAGATAGGCCCGGGAAAGACAGCAGTGTAAGCAGCTGCCTGACAAGCTCAAGATCCTGAGTTCGATCCCCAGTACCAAAAAGTAAAGATAGGTCAGATTTGCTTAGATTTCTATAGCTCAAGTTTTCTGGTGGGGCTGTTATCTTCCTTACAAAGCTACCTGTGTACCAATTTTCTCATTTAAAAACAAAAAAAAAGAAAAAACACTTTTCTTTCATAGACATATTTAGCTCTTGGACATTTTCAGTATTTCTGTGAAATTTAAAAACAGTAGACTCAGGCCTGGGACCTAGGTCAGCAGTACAGTGCCTGCAGAAGGTCAAGGCAAGCACAAGGCCATGAGGTCAATTCTGGTACCATAGATAGATAAGAGATAGGCAGGCAGGCAGGCAGACAGACAGACAGACAAAATAAAAACACTGGACTATGGACGGGCATGGTGGTGTACACTTGTAATCCCAGCACTCAGGAGACTGAGACAGGAGGATTGTTCTGAGTTTGAGGCCAGCCTGGACTGCATAGTGAGTTCAAGGCCAGCCTGAACTACGTAATGAGATTCTGTCTCAAAAACATAAATTTTCAAAAGAAAAAATATTAGACTAAAACTGTTATCAACTTTAGTTATTAAGATCAGCTTTACAAAGTTATTTTTAGTTAAATCTTCTTAAAAGTAAGTGATAAATTTTCTAAGGAAGGTTTTTCTGTCCCACAACACAGTTCTAATAAGTGTTCTCAAGAACAGTTATGACTTATTATATATAACACATATATTAGTAGCAGTTTTTGTCAAATAAGCACAAGTTCCGAAAGAAAAAAAAGGGAGAAAATTACCAGTAAGATACATTTCAATCCCACCTGTTCAAAGTACAATCACGAGTCCCCGAAAGCTACCCAGAGTAGACAGAAAAGCCACCCACATGACAATGCATTATCAACTCCAGTACAACAGTCTAAAATTTGCTTTGCTTATGCTGTATGAAAAACTGCCCCAGGATCTTGCCAGCCAGAACAACACTGATCTCTCTTCACAACTACAGCAAAAAAAAACAAAACAAAACAAAACAAAACAAAACAAAAACCACCTACTATTCCCTTCTAACACACTGCAAGACTGAAAAGCACTCCATATATTAAATAGGATGCTCCTCATTTCTAAAAACTTGCTATTTGTATATACTAATAGCTCTTAACTTGGTCAATTAAAATACTATAGCCTGTTGTCACAGGCAGACAAATCCACGTTGACACAAGCCTCCAGGTAGACACTGGCCCTGCTGGTGTCAGAAATGAAAAAGGAAAGGGGGAAGATGGCAGCTGGTGCTGCACAGACCACCCAGGAGAAACAGACACTCTCCACTGTCGCTCTCAAGGACTGCTGCTCCCGCTTCTAATCCCAACTCCCTCTGCAATGTGCTGCAGAAAAAAGCTGCAGCCAAAAGTAATAGGCTGTAAGGACCAGGAATGCTTAAAACAAGAGGCTCTGACTTTAAATTTTGGGCTTCAATTTTTGTAAGAGTAAAACAAGACAGTGAATATCGAAATCACTAGCTTAGGGCGGCTATGAAGGCCTCTTTTACTTTGGGAAGACAGAACACTTCTCCATCATTTTTAAAGGGGAAAGGAAGGATATAAATCACAATAAATGTCAAACTTACAATTCTTATAGCAAGGTTGCCTGAAGGGTTTTCCTTTTGAAAAGACAACTGCCACTGTGAGGTACTGGAAACTGGAGATAAAAAACAATGTGGTATTCTCATATTTTTTAATTTTGTCTGATTCAGTTTCATTGCATGAGTGTGAAGAATTCCAATACAGGCTTCCTGTTGTATTACAAGAACTAGAGAACACAAAAAATTTCTGCATTAGAAAACATTATGTCCATCCTCAAAAGAAATCAAGATAAGATCCAATAATATTGATACTGGATATACAGAAAGATGCAAGAATAAGTCACTTCTCAGTTTTTAAATATTGGAGTGAACAGACCAGGGTTTGGTGTTAGCTCTAGCTCTACCACATTTCAGTGGTAACATGGGAAAGCTGACTTCATCTCTCCCAGCCTGTTGCCTCCTCTGTAAGACAACCTGCTTCTCACTGGCTTCCATGGTGCCTGAGTAAAAAGCCTTATATTGGACTCAGGAAGGCACAGCACAGGGACAGCCATCCTTCCCACATCTAGGTGGGCAGCACTGGCCAGAATACACAGAAGCAGATATGTGAACACTTACTCAAACAGCCACTGCAACGAGCACAGGTAAGTGGTAATAGCATGGTAAACTCTACTGCTGAACGCTCAGTCTCAAGGTAATTCCAACTGCCACCCATCCCTGCAGGGCCTCTCACGTGCCAAACAAGCACTCTAACCATTGAGCACACCCTCAACCCTATCCACTCCTGTTCACTGGGCTAGAAAATAACATTACAATTTTTAAAAACAATGTCTCTGAAAACAAGCAAACTAAAAATATATCTGAAAATTTAATTCAGCAAAATTACATGTTTAATTAAAATAATATTACCATAATTTGTAAACTGTAGAGTTCAAATAAGCAAACAGGTACATTTAATATCACATTAAAAAAAAAAGCTCTAAAATGCCACTTCCTGAATTGAGGCAGACAAATTGAAAGCGCAAGGACTCTGGGTTTAGAAGATGCCAACTTCCTTATTTCACAGGTAGGAAATACGTCTGGCCCCTCTGAGCTTCAAGCTGAAACTGCATCCCCACTGTCTGAGGTAAAGAGGAAGGACTGGGGGGACAGGGCTCTGCTCTTGTCAATGAATAAATCCACTTCAGCAATTCATCAGTTCACTGGTTATCCTGACTGGTGTCTGCTATGAACACCAAGATGGCCAGTTCTCTTTCGTCCTGTCTCTCCTTGTGGACATCCGGCACTGCCTAGGGACACATCATTCCCATATGTAGCTCTGGCATCTTGGACCAGAATGGTGAGCCAAATCTGCCTCTTTATACTCCTTAGCCTGTGGTGTGTTATCAGCAACAAAGACAAAATCCCTCCTACAGACAGAAGCTACCATGACATCAAAGGAAATGTAAGCCAAATTACGTGTTTAAGTCAAGTGCATCCACCTTTTACACACATTTCTACACCATTTTATGCGCATATTTACACACATTCTACAGATAATTCGCACAAACTGACCTAGTACTTACTCTAAATATAGAGGGCACGGTTTATACCAAGGCTGCTGCTTGACCCAAAAAAATCCCAGAGACTGAAATCCAATAGAAATGATGATCTGAGACAGAACGGAGAAGAGCAGGGCCCCAGATATGAGACCTGAAGGTGGCCTCTGTGCCACAAGTTCCTTCCAGGCAGGATTTAAACTCACTGTGCCAAAAAGAAAAAGGAAAGGTTTTATTTATATAATTCACCATGAAAGACAGAATAAAGTTAATATGGTAACTTTAAAAATGTTTTTACCTAACAGTTCTTTAACATGGAAAGTTTCCTCAAATTAAGATGTCATACATACACATTTAAGTAATCTGTAAAAATAAATTTAGGCTTTTTCAAAAAAGCCTCAAGAATACTTGCATTCCTATGGAAATGCAGAGGAAACACTAAATGTAAGTACAAAAACTAAAAAATTAATTACCACACTTACATATTTAATGAAGAATCTGTTTTTTCTAAATCCTTGTAAAGGTAGATAAAATGATACTTTTCCTCTAAAGAAAACTAGTAAAAACTGTATGAAATGCAAACATATGATTCATGTAAAAAAAAACCCTCCCTCATCAACTGTGTTCAGAGCTTTGCTTCTACTGAACCATTTCTGCCTTTCTGTTAGTAATAAATAGCTTGTGAAGAGGCACATCTGGACTGTCAAAGTGCACCTCCTCTAATCTCACTAGATTCACCATCTACTAAAGACTGTTTCATGCTTCACAATCGGGGTGATTCTGTACCCATGGATGCATGGCAGTATCTGCAGATGCTTCCAGTTGTTGCCCATGGAGTATGCTGATGGAGTTCAGCAAGGAAGAGAGCCAGAGACACCGCTGAGACCCTACAAGGCTCAGGTCACCACCCCATAGAGAATTATCTGCCTAAGACATGAGTAGAACAAGCAAGGTCTCTCTTGGTCTCCATCCAACAGTCCTTTTAGCATTTTACCTCACAAACACTTCTACATGGATACACTGGGGATTTTTGATTCAATGGGCCATACCCTACCTACCAGCACCATTTATTTTGATTTAGGATCACACAATACTGGAAGACACCAACACCATGTGCCTTCTTGTACAAACCACTGCCTCACTTCTATGGCATCCCTCCAAAACCTTACTGCCAGATTCCAGGGAGACAATCAGATCAACCATACTCATAAACATCAATGTCAAGATGCTCCAAAAGGCTAGAGGCCTGTTCTAGAAAAGAGAGACTCAGTGATGAGAGGTTGTACAGGGCCTGTATTCTACACCGGTTCTAATCTAGGGGATAAGGAAGAAAACATGCACAAAGGACATTATTGGGGCAAGTGACAAAACTTAGAGGGTTTTGGACTGGGTATTAGTATAGCACTGTTTAGTTTCCTGATCTTTCTAGCTGCACTTTTAGGTAACATACACTAAAATATTCAACGGCAAATGGGCATGCTGACACTAGACACACTTTCAAATAGTTCAATGGGAAAAAAACAAACAAGGGTCAGGGAGATAGCTCAGCAGCATAAATGCCTGCCTGGCAAGCACAAGGTCCAGAGTTTGTTCCCCAGTACCAACACCCCAAACAACAACAACAAAAATAAAACAATGAGGCCAAATATAAATGAGAGGTAATAAGAGAGCACACTTACAGGGAAACTGCAGAAATGAGTTATGTTACAACTGGTGATGTAAATTTACCAAACTTTAGTACATCACATCAGAATTTCATATGGGCTCAACCCTGGAGCTTGCAGTCACTGCCTGTCCTGCTTGGATTCCTGGAGCCCTGTCCCTGTCACCTGAGTCTGCATGTGGCCTGACATGTGAGATGACCCAGGGCCTGCCAGATCCTGAATAGACCCAGAGCACAGGCCCGGTGTGTGAATGAGACCGCCTGGGGCCCACTGGATCCTCATTTGACCCAGAGTGCAGGCCCAGCGCAGAACCTTCAACAGAACTCCCTGCAAAGAGGCTAGAGGCAAGACTCACCCGGGTGATTTAGGAGCAGAACATCTTGCCAGAGAGACACAAAGGGCTCAACTCTAAGGGCCGTAGCAGAAAGAAGTGGAGCACAGCAGCCAGATCCAAGCAACACCTACCTGGAAGAATCTGAACTTCGTAGATCCGGACCTGGTGCTAAGGTAATAACTCTAAGCTCTACACCAAAGGTCAGAAGACAGTGGTATACAAAATGACAAAGAGAAGGAACAAAATGCAGTCTCAGGCCCCGAGTCCACCTAGTACAAATGCAGAAGACACTAGCATTGAGGAAACTGGAAATCACACACTGAATATCTCTGAAATAATAGCGTTGATAGTAAAAAAAAAAAAAAAAAAAAAAAAAAAAAAAAAAAAAAAAAAAACAGAGCAGAATATAAAAATGATGGAACCCTTGAATAAGCAATTTAGGAGAGAAATAGAATGTATGAAACAGACTCAAAGTGATATACAGGAAATTAAAACCTTAATCACAAGCTGGCAAAATCGTTTGAGTGAAAGCGAAAACAGACTTTCTGACCTGAAAGACACCATTGCAGCTAGTGAAAAAGAAAGAAAAGATCTCTTTAAGAACAACTAGGATGCAAGAAAAAATAATTTAATATCTGTAAGATGATGCAAAGATGAACAATGTGAGACTAATAGGCATCAATGAGAAGGAAGGAGTCAATACAAATGATATAAAAAGAATATGGGCAAAAGTAGTAGCAGAAAACTTCCCAAATATGGGGCAACAATCTGACATTCAGTAATCGAAGCATATAGAACTCCAAATAACATCAACCCAATAAAAACCACACCCAGACATATAATAAGATCCCAGAAATTCAGCAGAGGAACAGTATACTAAAAGTCACTAAAGAAAAGAAACATCATCGCATTTAAAGGAAAACCCATCAGAATAACAGCAGATTTCTCTTCACAAACCATCAAGTCAAGAAGAGCATGGAGCAAAGTACTTCAAGTCTTGCAAGAAAACAAATTCCAACCCAGACTGATATACCCTGCAAAACTCTCTTTCAAGTATAATGGAGAAATGAAATACTTCCATGACAAAGAACAACTAAAGAATTTCATGATGACAAAGCCAAGCCTACACAGACTAAATGATGTTCGAGAGAGGGAGCAAATTGATCACAGCCCCATGAAGGAGAATGGAAAGAACCC